GGATTAATTTAATCAGTAATGAATAAATCTCTCATATAGGCTAGTTACATGCCAAATCTATCATGTCATAACACATTGCGGATAGTTAAATCCGACAGATATTATTGGCGTAGATTTAACTGGTATATCAGGCTAGTTAGGTACCAAATCTATCATCACAGTCAAGGCATGTATACAGAGTGTTAATGAACTTATGTCAAATATGTTTGCCAGATGTCCGTTATGTTAAAATGAGGTAAATACACAGATTTGTATTGAGTAAAATTTAATTTTAAAATCTAACTTACCTCAACATTGCAAGGAGCTACCTTTTGAGAACTGCTGATTTCCATAGATGTTCGATGTAGCCACCATTTGCTTGCAGACAAGCCTCAGGGCGATGTATCCAACTCGCTCGCACGCGTTGCAACANTTGATACTACATTTAAAATGATAAAAGTAAATTAGAAGTATAACTGGTTGCATATAATGAACAAAATAACATTCAACAAGATTATTTGAATATTCAAAGAATTACTTTGCATTCTCGTTATACAATTTTTTTTTAATACTACTAACTTATTAGTGCTTTTCCAGTCTCCTTAATTACAATTATGTACTGTGTACAAAATTAATTTAAATAAAAATCATTTCATTAAAATTAAACCAGTGTACGCAGGCCAGCCATACACGAACAAATAATTCGGATTAATTTAATCAGTAATGAATAAATCTCTCATATAGGCTAGTTACATGCCAAATCTATCATGTCATAACACATTGCGGATAGTTAAATCCGACAGATATTATTGGCGTAGATTTAACTGGTATATCAGGCTAGTTAGGTACCAAATCTATCATCACAGTCAAGGCATGTATACAGAGTGTTAATGAACTTATGTCAAATATGTTTGCCAGATGTCCGTTATGTTAAAATGAGGTAAATACACAGATTTGTATTGAGTAAAATTTAATTTTAAAATCTAACTTACCTCAACATTGCAAGGAGCTACCTTTTGAGAACTGCTGATTTCCATAGATGTTCGATGTACCCACCATTTGCTTGCAGACAAGCCTCAGGGCGATGTATCCAACTCGCTCGCACGCGTTGCAACATTGCCACATCGTCTCAAATCGTATTATAAGCTTCGCAATACGATGCCGCAGTTGGACAAAAAGGAGTCTTAAGGAGTGAGATCCGGGGACCGGGGGGGACATCTAACTAGGCTGTCACGGCCTACCCAGCGATCGGGAAAAGTAATGTCGCGCACTCTCCGAAAAAAGTGAGCGGGGTTCATGCAGTAACCACATATTTTGCTGAATATTTAATGGCACGTCTTCCAATAACTCTGGCAAGCGATTTTGCAAAAAATCTAGATATGAAGCACCGTCTAAGCGTGTCAATAACGATACCGGCCCACATGTTCCCTAAAACTGTTGCTGAAAGGCACCGAGACGTATTTCTTGTGGATTTTCGATATTCCAGTAGTGTGTTGTGGACGTTACGTACACCATTTCGACTGAAACATGCTTCATCTGCAACAAGTATTTGCGCTGTAAACTCAGGATTTCTTGCATGTTCCTGAAGCAACCATTCGCAAAAACCTAGACGTAGGGGACAATCGTCAGGAGTAAGTGCTTGAACACGTTGAATATGAAATGGGTACAACTGAGCTTCTCGTATTATCCTTCACACAACAGGATGCGAAATATTTACTTGCTGTGCGATATTTCTGGTGCTACCACTTCCTCGGCAAGATCTAAAATCATATCTTCGACATTTAAGATTCTTAGTGGTCGCCCTGGGTCACCGTTGCGACCTCGACGCGACCCAGAGGTACTTCACCGGTGTCGAAAACTTTGCGCTACAGCAACAATTGTTCGGGTGGAGTACAAACTTCATAGTGGTAACATCTAATAAATATTTTTTTCTAGTTACTAATTCATGAACTTGTTCTGTCTAGGTTTATCATTTAGCCATTTCTTAATTTTATTTTGATACATATTTATATTGTTAATTAATTTTATTTCAGGAGGTATTAAGTTATATGTATATTCTTGGTCCTAAGTAGATATACGTTCTTTGCATTAATGTTTTATCAGATTTAGGTAGTTTAGAGGCTACTGTGTATTTGTAGCGTGTATTATACCTAATCATGATCGATATATACCAGTTCTTGTTTATTTTGATGTGTTCCAACTAAAACATAATAACAATAAAGCTGTCTTACATCAAACAAGTTTGTCTCCACAAAAAGCAAATCAGAGGAGTAAGTATAACTCTTTTTATACATTATTTTTAATATACTTCTCTGAATAATTTCCAAGTTACCTATGTAATTTTTTGTAGCACCTCCCCATGCGACAATGCAATACGTTAAATGAAATTCTACCAGAGCGTTATAAAATAATTTTACTTGATCTAATTAGAGTATCTCGGTTAAATATTTAAATTTGTGTAAAAGGCTTCTAATTTTTTTAATTAAGATATTTTCTTGGGAATCCCATTTTAGGCATGAATCAATGTGAACCCAGAGGTACCTACTTATAGTGTTAACAGATTTTATTATTATCTGCTCTTGATTTACAGTTAAAGACAAGTAATCAAAGTTTGGTAAATTACACGCATATGATGTAAATGGAACGCAATATGTTTTTTTTTAATTTGTCGTAAGAAGACTAATTAGACCACTCAATTAAATTCTTGAAATCATTCTCCACTATATGCTTTATGCTTTGCCAGGTTTCTCCTTCATAAATTGTAGCTGTGTCATCTGCAAAGCTAATTATACTTTCCTCAGTATGTACTTTATCATCATTTAAGTACATATAAAAAAATGTGGGCCCTAAAACAGTTCTCTGAGGCACTCCGCACTCTAGTGATCTATAATTATTGTAGGTATCATTAATTTTTACGCATTGATTTCTATTTGCTAAGTAACTACTTATTAATTTGTACGGGCTACCTCTAATACCGATGTTCTCACATACTCGGAGGAGTTGAGTATGACACACCTTGTCGAACGCCTTAGCTAAATCAACAAATACACAAATAATAGGTTGTGTTCTGTCTAGCGCTTTATAAAGATGTGACGTTAATGCTACTACTGCATCCTGTGTCGAGATATCCTCCCTAAAACCGTATTATTGATTTGATAAAATATTGTATTTACTTAAATAACTATTTATTCTTTTCTTTATTATTTGTTCAAAAATGTTCGCAATATTCGAAATCAAGGAGATAGGTCGGTAATTTGACACTTATAATTTTCTAAACAGTATTTTCGGTTTTTCTTTATTCGACTTCTAAACAGTATTTTCGGTTTTTCTTGAAAACGCCACCTCCTATCGACTTTGGACAAGAGGGCCTTTTCTGGGTAAAATTGTATGCTCTTTCATATTTTTCGAAAACATTTGCAAAATGCTATACTTTTTTTTTATAAAAATATGCATAGAGACCCCTCCATCTCCACCACTGGAACTAATATGCGATGATTTTCTGTGTCAAATTATTTGCCCTCAAATACTAAGTCTTTCGCCGCAACATGATGATTTTTTTTGTCAGCGGTTATTTAGTTAAAAAATAAATAAATAAAACAAAAATAAAATTGAACGCCCTGTATCTCAGAAACNTATCATCATTTAAGTACATATAAAAAAATTTGGGCCCTAAAACAGTTCTCTGAGGCACTCCACACTCTACTGATCTATAATTATTGTAGGTATCATTAATTTTTACGCATTGATTTCTATTTGCAAAGTAACTACTTATTAATTTGTACGGGATACCTCTAATACCGATGTTCTCACATACTCGGAGGAGTTGAGTATGACACACCTTGTCGAACGCCTTAGCTAAATCAACAAATACACACATAATAGGTTGTGTTCTGTCTAGCGCTTTATAAAGATGTGACGTTAATGCTACTACTGCATCCTGTGTCGAGATATCCTCCCTAAAACCGTATTGTTGATTTGATAAAATATTGTATTTACTTAAATAACTATTTATTCTTTTCTTTATTATTTGTTAAAAAATTTTCGCAATATTCGAAATCAACGAGATAGGTCGGTAATTTGACACTTATAATTTTCTAATATGCGATGATTTTCTGTGTCAAATTATTTGCCCTCAAATACTAAGTCTTTCGCTGCAAATGATGATTTTTTTTGTCAGCGATTATTTAGTTAAAAAATAAATAAATAAAACAAAAATAAAATTGAACGCCCTGTATCTCAGAAACGAAGCATTTTAGGACCCATATATATAGGAACTTTTAGACTCAAAATGAGGTCTTCTACTGATTCCTGAAGTCCTGCTATTTAAATATGAGACACCCTGTATAGGGGTTTAATGATTGCTGTTTTTAATGAGTGAAATTTCACTTGCGACAAGTTTCAACGTTTCTGCTTTAATATTGTAATTAATACAGTTATTAATGTACTCTCGGAAAACGGCACAGCAACTACAACAATGTATTACAAACTTTAGAATACAGTCCGGCTTCATAAGAAGAACTCGTAAACAGTGTTAACAGAATTTACAGAAGTACTCGCCGGAATAAAATACATGTATTTCAGCAGTTCCAATAACTTTAGCGGAAAACGAAGGTATGGTTGCCTGGTCATTGAAGACGTTCGATTGTTTGGAACTTATTAAACCCAGACTGTGTCCAGGAGGTCCTGGATGTGAAGGTACATCCTTAAAAGAGGAGCAAAGGTTTTTGGTACAAAGATTCGGACCGGACAAGCCAGTCGATTCTGTTAAATTCGTTTTTGCTTGTTTTATCCAAAAATCTAGTTGTGAAAACCATTGATTTGTAATAGATTGACGACAGATTCTTTAATATATACATTTTTTATTAATGATTTTAGTAATTCGTCTCCCAATTTTCTTTGAATCTAACTAAAGCCAGTATTAATAGGTAACACAGCACTACATATGACTCAACTTCTTTCGATAAAAATAAGAATTTGCCATTTACTTCTTCAAAAAAAAAAATAATAATAAAAAATCGATATTGTTTTTGATTATTTATAAGTTTACTTGATACAAATTTATGGATACATAATATTATTTTGTCCTGGTAAAGTTTCAGCTGTTTACTTTTTCTTTAAGGAATTTTACAAACGTCGCTGCTACATTCCAATCCTTTTGCACATTTAAATGTAGGTTCCGAAGATCCGCAAGGTCCGCCAACCTCTAAAATTTAAAGCACAAATAAAACTGAAAGCAATCTTTGCATGCTTTACTTACGGGATATATTGAAGCAATCATTACAACAATTACATGGTCCAGTAGGTCTTATTTCCTGATTTGGTCCTCTGCAAATTAGCACAATTCCTGGACAAAACACACCGGCGTTCTTACAAGGATCTGGACCATCGCAAGATGAAGGCAGGATTTGAGAAAATACATTAAAACACAAGAGCGTGCTCACAGCCGCAAATAGTGCTATTTGGACATGCATCGTCATATATCAAGTCCAAAACTGTGTGGATATAGCTGGAAATTATATACTAATGGTTCATTCGCCTTATATATTGCAGTTTTATAGGCAGTGATAAGTAGGTTTTATTTCGTATGTTATCTGTTTTAGGAATTGCGATAAATATGTTTTTTGTTAGTAATTAAAGAAAATTGTATATAAAAATTTTATAAATGTATTTTTTTAATAAAATTTTAAATAATGGGTATAATAACAGTAATAATTTAATAATAATGCCCATAATTTTTTAGGTGTTAAAAAGGTAGAGTGTAATGTATTTGTGCAAGCTAATTTTCAAAATCGATCTTGGTGTACAAAATAAATGGAACGAAATATGAAAAAGCCATTACCAATCCGAGTTAGAAACTAAATGAATTTTTTTAGAAATACCTGTATACGCGGTGTAACTATCTGGCTTGAAAAACATTAGATAATCCTGCATCATAAACGTGTGCATAAACGCAAAAAAACAATAACGTATACTTTTACAATTAGATTAAATATAAACATATATTATTCAGAATAAATGTTTATTTTTATGCAGTTTTCATGCTTTGTTTTTCTTTATACAGGGTGTTTGGAAAAGTTTGTACAAAATTTAAGAGGGTGAAAGTAGAGCCAAAAAAGTTCCTATAAACATTGGTCTATAAATATGACCCTCCGAAGGGGTATTATCATTTGGATATTTTATAAAATAACATTCTTTCTGATTAAGATAAAGGAATGAAAATTAGGTAGGTAATAATTATACCACAAGGGTGTTTAACTACCATAAGTTTCATCAAAATCGGTTATAAATAAGGATAGTTTTGTAACTACTCATAACAGGAAATTTTCCAATTTTTTTCTATTCCTTTGAATAATCAAGCAAATAATATAATTTTTTAATGAATTAGACTCTTTTGAAGAAAAATGATTGATTTAAATAATCCAGCACTTGCTGAGCATAATGTGGAGGAGCTCCATCTTGTAAAGAAACCATGTGTGCTCATAGTTCAAGAGGAATATCGTCTAGTAGATTTGGAAGATCATTTTCCAAAAAGCTTATTGTATGTTCCAAAGCGGTAGGATTACGTTCAAAAAATCTTAAAATTACCTACGCCTCCTTGGACGACCACATTCATGATATCTTGGAGTTAGGGCTCCTGATTCCATAGCTCTTGCATAAATTTTCCGAAACAATCTTGCAGAAGGTTGTCTTCTATCAGGAAAACGTTGCCGATACTCTCTTTGAGCCGCCAGACTATTTTCATTACAGAAACCATAAATAAAATGCATATCGGCATATTCACGATTAGTAAAAGCATGATGGTTCATGGTTGTAAAAAAAAATCGAAAAATGCCTACTATGTAAAAATGTTTTAAAAAGTCTTACTGTTCTGAGCCATACATTATTTAAAAAATAATTTTTTCTGACTAAACTATGTAGAATTCAAAAAAAAAGTAGGCATTTTGTCTTTAAAAGTTTTAATTCATTAAAAAATAATATTATTTGCTTGATAATTCAAAGGAATAAACGAATCTGAAAAATTAAATCCCTGTAACTTGGCCGGTAAAATGTAATGATTTATATGATCGAATATAATTGTCATCAATAGTCTGAAAATGGCGTCCTTTCAGCATTGATTTTTTTCGAAAATACGAAAAAATCGCAAGGAGCCAGGTCTGGCAAGTAAGGAGGGTGAGGGAAGACAGTAATCTGATTTTTGTCACAAAACTGACAAATGGACCAAGTTCTCAAGAGTAGTTACAACACTATCCTTATTTATAATCGATTTTCATGAAACTTAAGGTAGTTTCCCTTATAGTATGATTATTACCCACAATTTTCATTCCGTTATCTTACTCAGAAAGAAAGTTATTTTAAAAAATATCCAAATGATAAGACCCCTTTGGAGGAGCCCTCCAAAGGGGTCTTATATATAGCCATATCTCAGTAACGGTGCTCCGGAGAACCAATGTTTATAGGAACTTTTTTTTCTATTTTTTGTCTCCACTTTCATTCCCTTAAATTTTGTACCAACTTTTCCAAACACCCTGTATACAGGGTGTCCGTTAAAGAATTAACCAAACTTTACCACTAGATTCTACGACGAAAGTGAATGGGGAAAAGTCCTATACAATGTTGCTCATAAACGCTTAGTTTTCGAGATACAGGGTGTTGAGGTTGAAAAAAAATAACATTTTTAATATGTTTCGACTACTTCGAGCTAATTTCGTGAAATTGCATATCCGGGGGTATTTTGGGACGAGAAATTCGAATTTATTGACGATTTCGTTGTATCTTCTAGAGGGCGCCACAGGCGACCATTAGGACGCATTTAAACTGCGTCCTAATGGTCGCAAAACTTTTTTGTACAATTTTAAACACATTCTTAATTACCTTTTTTCTCTATGACCTTAAACTTCCTATACAAGTTTGTGATATCAGTTGACTCAGTTTTGCTCCTTTTTCACCCCTTGTATGTGTCTGTGCTTAATCACCTGATCGATGCGTCCGTTAAAATCTGAATGATAGTGGCATCAAATTCGCATTAAACGTCGTTTCTAACTTGGTTAGTGTTCTTTTGATAATCTAAAAGTTTTTCTCTGGATTTGCTGTGAGATGTTACTTAAAATTGATATTTTTTTCCGACATAACAAATACCTACGTCGATTAGGAAGAATATATTTATCGTAACTATATATCTACAAGATAAATCTCTCCGAAAAAGCTTTGTGGCCTAAAGTACCGATTTTCACGGCGAATAAATGAGATTTTTTTAAAACCTCATCCCTATATCTCGTAAACAGTAGCTAAAATCACTCAACGAATAACTTCCTAAATTTGTGATACAGACTTAAGAAACATGTACGTTTTTACTTTATTTTAATTGCATTAGGCTAATTCAAATAAATTCAAAAATCTTCTATCAATAAAATCTCATGGAATAAAGTCAAAAAAGGTTCTTCGGTAATTTAAGTAAGTAAAAGATATCTAACATCACACAAAAAACCTGTATATACGTTGTAGAAGGAATTCAATTGTAGCCTTGGTTAGCTCACTGACAAATTTCGTGAAGGTTGTCCACAATCAGATGTTGTTCCAGAAAACATTGGTGCTGTGTGTGACTTATCTTATCGTGAAATTGAGATATCCTTGGACATTAATGAGACCAGCATACATTCAATATTGTATGAATATTTAGTCACCCAAAAAATTTGTTCGCGTTGGATCTCACATAATTCGACAAACACTTAAAAAAAGGTTCGTGTCCTTTGGTCGAAATAAATGCTCAAGAAATACGATTGCTGTCCTCCAAAACACGTCTATGACATTATAACAAATAACGAATCATGCATCTAGAGATATGATTCCGAAAGTAAACAGCAGTCGACTGTATGGGTCTTTCAAGATGAGCCACATCCAACAAAAGTTGGTTCGCACATGAAGCATTTCTAAGCAACTGTACCATTAGGCAACGTCGGACAGTCAATTCTGAACCGCCGAAGACGGTCTCCACCAGGACAATGCGAGCACTCACACATCGGCTCAAAAAAACTTTCTTATAACTGGAAAAGTTGAATTGATGAGACATACAGGCCTGATTTGGCACCCCATGACTTTTTATTCCCGCACATCAAAAACAAATTACGAGGTCAACGTTTTTTGACGCCTGAAGAAGCGGTTGATGCGTTCAAAATGCACGTTTTGGAGGTACCTCAATCGAAATGGAAAAAGTTCTTCGAAAATTTGTTCAAGCGCATGCAAAAGTGTATTGATCTACATGGAGAATATATGAAAAATAGTAAGGCTATACGATGATTAATTTCTTTTTTTTCTTTCCTATTCCCGAAATATAAAAAGCAAATCACGTATCTACTCGTATCTAGCAAATAATGTCTAAAATAAAAATTAAAAATGAAAAGTCTAAGTATTATTATTAAGACATCATTTTTAATTTATATTTTAGATAAAATTATTCATTACTAGCTATTCACTATAGTCTGTTTAGAAATGAAAGAGAGTAATAAAAGCTTATTATGTATGCAAATCGTAAATAAATGTAGTACTGGTGCTTATACTCAATATTTTTATATTATGTATTTTGGGTGTAGATGAGGTGTACTTTTAAAAAAACTATGTGCGATCTGACTGTACTAAATTGTAGCAGGTAGCTAAAATTTAATCCCCGACAATCCGTCTTTGTCTATGCCGCTTCAATTTCTCGGTCCATTTCTCTTATAAGTAAACAATATAAAAACAGCATTTCAAAACATGAGGCTACTTTAAGTATCATAACCGGGTTAAGAGGGTTTTTAGTAATTCAAATAAAATTATTCAATATTATTATCAAAATATTTATTTAAATTTAATGAATAGACTTTTATTCCACACAAAAATATATGTATTTTGAAAATTCAAATTATGGTGAGTAAATGTAGTGTTGTATAAATGTACAATAAAGAAAATAAAAAAGTAGGTATATTAAAATTCATCCTCTGAATATTCTGATGAATTATCTTCGTCTCCTAGATTGATAACGATAGGTTCCACAGTAACGTCAATTAAATTATCGAGTTCCC